CAGCATCAATGTTGCAGGAGGAAGCGGAGCCCAGTCAGTGACCCAGCCTGACCGCCACGTCCTGGTCTCTGAAGGAGCCCCTCTGCAGCTGAGGTGCAGCTACTCATCTTCTGTATCACCCTATCTCTTCTGGTACCAGCAACGCCCCAGCTCCTCCTGAAGTACATGTCAGGGGCCACCCTGGTGACAGGCATCAATGGTTTCCAGGCTGAACTTAGGAAGAATGAAACCTCCTTCCACCTGAGGAAGCCCTCAGCCCATTGGAGCGACTCAGCTGAGTACTTCTGTGCTTTGAGTGACACAGTGCCTGGGGCTGCAGGGGGAGCAGAGCACAAACCTGACACAGGGCACTTTCTGTGACACACAGGCTCAAGCTGGGGATTTTTCCAAGAGGTTTTCCTTTTCTGTGCAGCCCAAGAGGACAGAGTGGCCTGAGTCCTGGGGAATATTTGTCTCCTGAATATTTGCCTCCATGTCTGTGTACTGCCGCCTTCAGACTGGCTGTGGCCCAGGTAAAGGTTTTGTGTTGAATTTCTCCAGGAGGGAAACCTGTGTTCCCCCACAACTTCATGCTCCAATTCCCACCTGACACCTGCACTCTGAAGAACATAGCAATAAGGGCTCTGAAGTTAAAAAGGCAGCAGCACTTTAATTTTTAAAAGTCACTTCTAGCATCCACTGTGATGATTAGTGTTGCCTCAAAGGAATTTTATTTAGTGTCTGGCTACAGACATCCTCTAGTTTCTTTTTGGTGTGCTATTTCTTCCCGTTTTACTTCTGTACCCCTTTTCATTTCTGTTTGGAGTTTTCCTGACATGACATTTATCCTTTCATTGTCCTTTATTTCAATCAGGTTTACACTTTTCAGGGACAAGAATATTTTAAAGTTATGGTGAAAACACTTATGTTCTACTGTTTTTTAAAACTGCAAGTCTGCAATTCAGTAACTAGGAGCAAAATATAGTACAACAGACCTCTAGAACTTTTTTATATTGTCTAACTGACACTTGGTTCTCCTGGACCAGCATCTCCCGATATCATCATCTTTTTAGTCCCTGGCAACCACCATTCTACTCTGCTATGAGTTTGACTAGTTTTGATACTTCATCTAAGTGGAATCATGCTTTATTTGTCCTTCTAAGACTGGTTTATTTCAATTAGCATGATGTTCACAAGGTTCATCTGTATTGTTACACATGGCAAGGTCACCATATTTTTAAAGGATAATAATATTTAATTTATGTATATGCCACATTTTGTATCCATTTATCTACTGTCTGACATTAGGTTGTTTCCACATCTTGATTGTTGTGAATAGTACTGCAACACACAAGGGAGTGCAAATATCTCATTGAGATCCCAATTTCAATTATTTTGGATAAATACCTAGAAGTGGGATTGTTGTATTATACAATAGTTCTATCTGTAAATTTTTGAGGAAGGTCCATACTGCTTACCCTAATGGATGCAACATTTTGCAATCCCTCAACCATGTTCAAGGGTTCCAATTTCTCCACTTCCTCACCAATACTTGACTGTCTTTTATTTTCAGGCAGTAGCCATCTTCATAGATGTGAGGTAAAATCAAATTGCAATATCTCATTCCTCTGATGACTGGTGAGTTGAGCACAAAGGACCCTGACGAGACCTAAGACCATTTTGAGAAGTTAGAACAAACCTGAAGGTATAACACCTCCTGGGTTCTGAATATATTACAAATCTTCAGTAATTAAAACAGTGTGATTCTGTCATTAAGACATATATACAAACTAATAGAACACAATAGAGAACCCAGATATAAGGCCATGAATGTACATTCATGCCGCAGTCTGGCTGGGCACAATCAGGAGCCACTTGTCAAAAGAAACTAACTTTATTTTTAGAACCACACACGCCTAACAAAACAGCCTCTCAGGAAAAACCCTCAGAGCCTCAACTGCCACCACCGGCTTTCCACAAGCCTCTCTCTCCCCACACAAGCTTCTTCACCTCCCACAATCCTCCTGCTCTTGAGGCCGATTGGCTGGGTCACGTGGGCAGAGCCAAAAAAGTCCCCCAGTGAGCAGCTCCGTGGTCTGAAAGGGCAGGGAAACAGTCCAATGAGCATCACCGCAGAGGAGCCAATCAGCTAGATGTTGCTGGGGCCGAGGAGCCAATCAGCTAGATGTTGCTGGGGCCGCTGTGAGACAAACTGATCTTTGTCAAGGATACCAAGCTCACACAATGAGTAATGAAATAAAGATAAATGTTCAATTAAAATATTTCTACAAAGGATTATGTTAATAACTTATGGTTAAACATTTTAGCAACTCATAACTACCATGCAAATCAGTAGGACTGATTAGAAGGAAACTGTTTTTAAGCCAGAGAAGATGAAATGTTACTTAGCACTAATTCATAGTTGAGGAAGCAAATGTGATAGTGTTTGAGTGGTGTTGTTCCTTCCCTGGTCACCATCAGTGGTCCTGTTGCTGAGCTGCCCTCTGTGCAGCTAGGAAGCAGCTGGCTGAAAGCCCCAGGAGATCCTGTACACGGGGTATAGAAGAACTTAATTTTCTATTAATTACTATAAACATATTCACATCTGATTGACCTGTGCTGAGAGCTGTGTATAAAATTAAAAAATTGTATTTAGAATAAAAATTATACCTTTTAAACTGAGTTTTCTGCATTTTCAACAAAATATAATGAAAGCTAATGTGCTTGCTTTGGTAATTTTGACTTTTGTAGCTTTTATAAAATTAAAAAACATTGTTCTGACAAGCCAGGCAACTCTAGTGTATGAACACAACTTCTTTACAGAGAGTGAAAGTCTACCAAAATATCTGGTAGACTTTGTCATTGTTCATACCAGGGATAAGGGATAGTGGGCTAGCAGTTAGAATGGAATATTCTTGAAGCATATTTTAAAATAGTCTTTAAGTAAATCGTTTAATTTCTACATAATTATTATGCTGAAGTGTCTTTTTTGACACTGTAAAAACTGATGCCTCAGTGTGCTTGATTTTAGCAGCTTAAAGCAGTACTTATTAAGGAAACATATAAATATGAAGTATCTCACGTTGAAAGTTATTGTATTATATTTTTAATGTAACAGTGCAGATCTTGTTGGACACATGAATGTGTATAACTATGTTAAATGCAAATGTTTTAGTCATCTTTTTTACTGTCATGATTAAAGACCTGACAAAGAACCAGTTTAGGGGAAGAAAAGTTTTTCTGAGGGCTCAACAGTTTCAAGGTCTGTGTCCAGGCATAGTAGGCCTCATTCCTTTGGGCTTGAGGAGAGGCCTCATTCCAACATGGCAGAAGAGTGTAGCTGAGGTAAAAAGCTCATATGAGGATCAGGAGAGACTCCACCTGCCAGATACACAATATATATCCCAAAGCCATGCACCTGATGCCCACCTCCTCCAGAACACCACTCAGTTAATCCCCACCAGGTTCATAGAACAAACAACAACAAAAATAATGTGTAATGGGAAACTAGAATCCCCTTAGTGATTTGTGAATATTTATTATCATTTCCCTGATTATTAGTGATGTTGGACTAATAATCTTTGGCCATTTATATGTCTTTGGGGAAATGTCTAGTCAAGTCCTTTTCTCATTTTTAAATCAGTATTTTTATTTTTTTTTCTATTGAGTTATAGGATTTTTTAAACATATATATTGGGGATTAACCTCATATCAGACATGATTGTGAATATTTTCTTCATCCCATAGGTTACATTTTTGCTCTATAAATTGTTTCCTTTGCTGAAGTGATTCAGTTAAAACAGGGTCATTTGGGTGGCTCTCATCCAAAATGACCTGTGTGCATGTAAGAAGAGGAGATTAGGGTACAGACAGCACAGGCAGAAGGGGGACCAGTTGAGGACACACTGAGAAGATGTCTATCTGCAAGTCAAGGACACAGGCCTCAGGAGAACCCAAAGCTGCTGACACCTCGACTTTTGACTTAAATCCTCCAGAATTGTGAGAGAATAAACTTTGTTGTCTAGGTCACCAGGTCTGTGGTATTTTGTGGTACAACTAGCAAAGTGGCACTTCATATATGCAGCCTACTGTGCAGATGGATGTGGGTACTGGACTGGGCCCTAGGAGTCGGGCGCATCATTTCCAATGCTGACTCAGGAGCCAGTTATGGAATAAATGAAAGATTAAGAGTTTCCTTTGGGGCAGTGGGAGTAATTACAATAACACAGGGATGGCAGGCCTGCAGAGACAGTGGAATTGCAGCTCCTATCTCATCCTACCTGAGCAACTTTGCAGGTACCACCTGCAGAGTCCAGGGCTAAGAAGAAGAGCTCATGGGTGCTCAGAGGAGGGCTTCTCCAGACTGATTTTCTGTGCTGTGCTGAGTTGGTAGATTTGAGTCCAGTTCCCTGAACCTATTGAGGATTCCCAAGCAAACCTGGTATTTACTAATTCGTTCCTTTTTAATTTAATCAAATCAGAGTTCATTTTCATTGCTCACAAAATAAAAGCTCTGACATATATAGTCTCATTCCAGCATTAGATTAAAAAGAGTCAGATCATCTTGAAGATACATTTGTAGAAATTGTAATAGTAGCAAACTTAACAGTGCTTCTCAAAGGTATCCAGTAGTTTCTGGGTTCCAACATTCTTCCTTCATTGAGTTCTTATCTGAATTCAACTGTATCTGCTTTTACTCTAAGCTGGAACCAGCATTCAAGGCAGGAAGAGAACAGACTATATTTCAGGTTCCTTCTGTGTCAGTTCTGCACACTTCACCATCCAGAGACCATTCCATCAGCAGGATGATGTTGATGCCACCAGATGTCAGTGTCTCCCTCTTCTTAGACTTAACTTTCAATCTGTGTGTGTGTGTGGGGGGGGGGGGGGGTGTTTGCGCGTGCACAGGCACTTCCACCCTTACTTGCTTGCATGCGTATTCAAAGCAAAGGACTGAGTTTGCTGCTGACTGGCTGGGTAAAAAAATCGAGACTCCGGGGAGGGGGAACGGAAGACTAGATAAATGTTCAGCAATGGGAACTCTTCTGACTGAGGAACTTGGCTCCCTTTTAGGGCACAGAGCTGTGCCTCCTGTGATCCCAATAAGGAAGGAAGATGCAGAAACTCCTGAGAGTGTGTTTGGTGACCCTGTGGCTTCAGTTGGCCAGTGAGTGGGGGGGGGGGGGGGCTGGTGGAGATGGGAACAGGAGACTGGAATTTAGAGCCCACATGCTAGACAGATGAGGTCTTCCTGTGATTTGGGGAATAGGATTTGAAAGTTCAGTAGTGACTTCTTGTTTCTGGCTTCATTTCTGCCTAGGGGTGAACAGTCAACAAGAAGAAGAGAGCCCTCGGGTCCTGAGTGTCCAGGAGGGTGAAAATGCCACCATGAACTGCAGTTACAAAAGTAGTACTACCACTCTGCAGTGGTATAGACAGGATTCAGGTAAAGGTCCTGCTTTGGTGATCTTAATACGTTCAAATGAGAAAGAAAAACACAGTGGAAGACTAACAGCCACCCTGGACACCTCCACCAAAAGAAGTGTCCTGTCCATCACGGCTTCCCAGGCTGCAGATGCTGCCACTTACTTCTGTGCTACAGATGCACAGTGATCAGCAGGCACCTGCAGCCCTGACGCAAACCCTGCCAGGGCTGCTTCCCAGAAGCCCTGACCATGGGTGGACTTGGTGGATTCACATTCTTCATGGGATGGGAAGAGAGTCCATTCAAATTTGTGATTTTTTTTGAAGCATTTTGGAATAGGGTTAAGGTCATGAGATATGGAAAGGGAACATCAATGCCAGGCTCAGTTCTGCCCACCTTGGCTCCATGGCCTCAGGCTCATCCTCAGTATAGGTGCCTTCTATATCCTTACGTGACTTGAAGGATTTCAATCCCTGATTTGAAATGATTCTTCATATTCTAATTTTATCAGGAAAAAAAGTAAGCCCTGTACACCAGCAGAGGACAAGTAAAGAATGCTCAGTATTGTAAGGTGTTTTAGTCAGGTTTTTTTTCTTTTCTTTTTTTTTTTTTCCTCCTGTGACTTAAAGATCTGAATAAAACAATTTTAGAAGAGTAAAAGTTTATTTTGGGGCTCACAGTTTCAGAGGACTCAGTCCACAGAAGTCTGGCTGCATTTCTTGGTTCTTGAGGTAAGGCAGAAGAGTGTGGCAGAGGGAAGTGGCTCACATGATGATTTAGGAAGCAGAGAGAGACTCCATTAGAGAGAAACAAAATATATAACCTAAAGCCATGCCCCCAATGTCACACCTCCTCCAGCTGCACACTACCCACCTTCAATTGCCACTCAGTTAATCCCTATCACGGGATTAATTCACTGATTGTTAAGACTCTCATAACCTAATCATTTCTCCTCTAAACCTTCTTGCATTGTTTCACATGTGAGTTTTGGGGGGGACTCCTCACATTCAAATTGTAACAAAGAGTCTCACCTGTCCTATTGCAGTGCCAGACCCATTTTATCTCAATGTCCTCAGGCTCATCCTCAGGGGTGTCTTTGAGTTGCCTGAGATGACTCTTGCTTTCCTCTGGTTCCAGGGAGTGATGAACTCTTAGGCATTGGGGTTAGGAGGGATCTTAGGATGTGTCCAAGCAAATCTTCCATCTCACAGCTGAGGATTGGAGCTGTTGTGTGATAAGAGAGGGAAACATCAGAATTGGATTCTGCCATTTAATGGTTGTGTAATTTCCAAGCCACAACTTCTACATGAGGAAAAAGGGAATCTGTAAGAAAGTCCTAGTTTCCCCATCTAACAGGAGAGTATATTCTCTATGGCCAGGACCTAAAATGCTGTGGTGTGAAAGGCTTCTAGGATCAAGTACATTGGTTTTCCATCTATTTATTCTCACTCCTATTAAAATAAGTAAATGCTGACTATGGTTTTCTTGACACAGTTTTGAAACTACTGAAAATGTGTTTGTGGAGAAAATCAGGGCATATATTTATAATGCATGCTTGATGAGAAAGATTCAGGGGGAGGGGAAACACAGGTCAGCACTGTGGTTCCCAAAAGCCCCACCTTGACCTGCCAGCATCACCTGTGCCAGAGGAGCCCAGAGCACCACAGAAGTTGTGGACTACTGGGCTCAGTGCTGGCTCACTCAGCGGGCTCTGTCAAGGTGATGAGTTTGTTTTTTTAATGAATATATCAGCCTTATTTAGAGATTGGCAGAGCTTCTTGTTACAGAAGACCCCAGGAGTGTTTTTAACAAGGAGGAGGTTACTTTTCTCTCATATAAAATAGTTCTATATAAAACAGGGCTGTCATTTGTTGGGGGCTTCATCATGTTGTAAGGGACCTCAGGTCTTTCCAGCTTAATGTTTCTCATCCTTCAGGTGTTCCTGTTGTGTTTACATTTCCCCCTCCAAAAAAAAAAAAAAAAACCTGCTAGAGAGCCTTTCATGCCATACCCCTTCTAGTCGGAGAGAAGATCACAATCTATGGGTACTTGCTGGCAGAGGAAGTCCTTTCCTGAAGCCCCACCCAGCAGTCTTCATTGACATTTCACTCACCAGTCACCAGATGTGCCCCCCACTCCCACCAATGGAGGGATAGATGGGGTTCCAGGACTTCTTTTAAAAAATGTGCCTATGCTGCCATCCACATCAAAATAGAGTTCTATTTTTAAATTTGGAATTTTCTGTTGGATGACAAATAAATGTTTTAAATTTTTGTTTTTATAATATTTTATTTTATCAACACATTAATTATGAATATTAATGGGCTTTGATGTGATAATTCCATATATACATACAGTATGCACTGACCAATCCTACCACTTTTCCAACCCCTCAGCCATCCCTATCTTTAGTAATCACTATGCTACTTTCAGGTCAACTATTTTTTTTAACTCCCATAAATGAGAGAGAACAGACTGTGTCTGACTTATTTCACTTAAAATAATATATTCTAGTTTCATCCATTTTGCTACAAATGAAAGGACCTTGTTCTTCTTAATGGCTAGGCAACATTCCATTGTGTGTGTATAACACATTTTTCATTATCTACTCATCTGCTGACAGGCAGCTCAGTTGATTCTTTATCTTAGCTATTGTGCATCACATGAACACAAGTGTGTATGCAGGTATCTCTTGAGTTTGCTCATCTCACTTTTATTTCCTAGAAGTAGGGTAACTGGATCATATGGTGGTTCTATTTTCATTTTTTTGTGGAATCTTTATACTTCAGAGGTTCTACTAATTTGCATTTCTGGCACCAGTGTATAAGAATTCTATTTCCTCCACATTCTTATCAACATTTATTGTTCTTATTATATTAATTATTTTGGTAATAATTCTAACTTGAATATTGAGAGAATATCTCATTGTAGTTGTGATTTGTGTATCCTTAGTGGCTTAGATAATGAATTTTTTTGTTTTTCTTCTTCTAAGAGATATCTATTCAAATAAATTGTGCAGTTTTAAATTATAGGACTTGCTTTTCATTGTTAAGTTTTTTGAGTTCCTTACATATTCTGGATATTAACCCTCTGTCAGAATAAATTTTGGCATATATATTTATTGCATTTTGTAGATTGTCTTTTCATTCTATTGATTGTTTCCTTTGCTGTGCAGAACTTTTTCATTTGATATAATCCCATTATTCTTTGTTGTTGTTGTTGTTAATACTGGGAAGGGAATTGAACCTATGGGTGCTTTGCCACTGAGATCCATCTACAGATCATTTTTTTTTTAAATTTTGAGGCAAAGTCTCACTATGTTGCTGAGGCTGGTCTCCTACTTGTGATTTTCATGCCTCATCCTCCAGAGTTGCTGAGATTGCAAGTGTGCACCACTGCACTCAGCCCGTTTGTCAATTTTTGAATAAAAGCATATGTCTAAGCATCTGAGTGACTAACTTATAATTAAACATTCCTATTGATTATGATGTTTTTGTGTGTCATTTTCACCAAATTAAGGGTAAAATGGGAAAATAATATTTTATAAACCAAGGCATCATGGTTGCTTCAGTGGATAAAAGTTTTCAGAACAATTTTGTATTATTTTGATTATCTTCTACACAGAGGCTAAATGCCAAAGAATTTGCATTAACATAGTAACAGCTATCTTCTTTGCAACTTGCATTCCACTCTAGGGAAAATACCACATTCAAAGATGGAGAACAGGCTACAGGGACAGGGAGAGCACAGAGGGCACTGTCCCTTCTTGAGGCTATTTGACAAATTCCCTGTCTGCACATTTCTCTTTGCTTCAGCTGTGACATAATCTTGTAGGGCAGTTTTGTCTTGCTTAATACCTGAGCCAGATTTTGAAGAGAATTCCACAAGGAATCAAGCAAGTAGAGGAAAAACTGTCTCAACTTTGGTGAATTCCTGAATGAAACCTCCTGCTGACTCTCAGACAGCCATGCTATATGCTTCCTGCTCAGGACTGGTGATCTTGTCTATATTCAGGGAGCAGCATTTACTCAAAATGGCTAAGATGTTCTATGCCTTAGTTTTAAGATGACCTTCGAGCCTTTTGGAATTGGAGAATATCCCTATTACATTTCCAGTGTAACAATGCCTTTGGTATATTAAGAAGGGTGCCATAGAGACTCTATGACCCAGGCAGAGGGCCTGTTATGCTCCCCACACTCCCAGGGGGAGTTATGACCCTGAACTGCACTCACAGACACAGCTGTCCCTTTCCTTTTCTGGTATGTCCAGGTGCTGGTAGCAGGCCCGCCCTGGCCCCTGGGGACTCAACCCCCAGTTCTTTGTTATGCATGTCAATGTGGCCAGCTCACAAGACCATGACGTGGGCTTGCAGTTCCCTGTTTATCTGCCTAGAGCATATGTGTCTCTCGGGAACATCTTGACCTGTTCGAGCCTCCTGATAGGGGACGGTGACGTGAGGGTAACCCAAGGACGCAGTTATTACTCTTCCCTCCTCACTTTTGAGTGATTTCCCTCAGCTGTTAAAAAGATATATAAGGGGAACAAATTTGGCAATAAAGCGCGCACACGCTCCCTCCTGGATGAAGAACCTTGGTGTCCTGTGTATTTTTTAACCCTGCCGTCCCTCGCCGGACTCGGCTCCATTAGCTGGAAGCGGCATCCAGGTATATAAACTAAGGGCCTGGGCTCCTCTTGAGAAGCTCATCAGGAGACCAGCAGTGTTTCCAGGCAAGCCAGCTAGGGGCACAGCTCCTTCCCCATAAAGAAACCCTGCCTGCAGAAGTGAGCCTGGCATGACACTGTGCTTTGAGGATCTTGATGGGCCGCACAGGTGCAGCACAAACTCAAAGGGTGAGGAGGTCCTGGGTGTGGTCACCCAGGGAGGGGTGATTCCTCTGTCCAGTATTCCTGGCTAGAGATCCCTGGCAGGACCTTCCAGCTCTGTTGCCTCAGAGCCAGGACATCTGGAGTTCTTGGATTACTCTCCAGGGCAGAATTGGGGGAGGGACAATGTCAAAGGGAACTGGGGTGTTTTCCAGTGGAACCTGTGTTCAGCAGAGATGTTACCTTTCTTTCATAGATAAAGAACACGCCTGACAAGGTCCACTAGCTCTGCTACAGGACATTTTAGTTAGTTGGTCTGTGCTGAAACAAGTCACTTTAACTGCTTATAAATAAGCTGAGGCAAAATAGTTTATGAGCTAATCTGTGATTTATTTTTACAACTGGAACCAGGAATGTGTGTTTTA